AAAACTCAGCTTATCGTGTTATGTCTGAGATGCCTATTAAACATGAAGGAGGAGATGTTGAATAGATAATTGAATATATGGGTTTAGAGTCCAGGAGAGAGGTCTGGGATAGAGAGATAATTTGGAGAGTATATTTAATTAAGACCTTAAGATTGGATGAGATAATTAGGAGTGGAGTGAGTGACTGCAGAGAAGAGAACAAGTCTAAGGAGTAAGGCCCCAGGCACTCCAGCATTAGGAAGTCAGAGAGGAGAGGAAGGACCGGAAATCGAAGCCAAGAGAGAGCAGCCAGAGGATAAGAGGAAATCAAAGAGAGTATGGGATCCTGGAAGCCAGATGAAGGAAGTGTTGCTGGAAGTCAAGAGTGACTATCAAAAGGCACAGATAAGCCCAAGGAGATGAGAATGGGTCGTCAGGTTCTTTAAAGTGAAGGTTATTTGAGACCTTGTCAGTAGCATTTTTGGTGGGATGGTGGAGATAGGAAGGTTGACTGGAATGCATTTACAAGAAAAATGAAAGCAGAGGACTTCAGGAGAACAAAAATAGACAGCTCTTGAGTTTGCTAAGGGAAGGCGAGATAGGGGTTGGTAGCCAGCAGGGCACATGGTGACAAGAGAGGGTTTTTGGGGATTGTTGTTTTGTTTTAAGATCAGAGAGATAACAACATGTTTGCTAATAGAAATGATCCAGAATAAAGAGGAAGGTTGATTATGTAGGACCTGAAAGACTGGGTAGAAGAGCATCTGAGCAGGTGAGGGGGGATGAGCTCTGGTGCCCAAGTGCAGTGGTTGACTTTAGATGGGAGTAGGGCCTCCATCTGTATAACAGGAGAGTCGGAGGGGACATGAGCACAAATGTGCTAAGTAGGTAAGTGTGCTGGGAGTTGTGGGAGCCCTTTTCCTAGTGCTTCCATCTTCTCAGCTAAGTAGGAATAAAGGTTATCAACTAAAGTGAGGAGAGGTTAGGAGGTGTTAGGGGTTTGAGGAAAAATGCATCACCAAGCAGAGCAGAAAAGGGGAAAGACTTGGGAAAATACAGAGTAATTGCCAGACTGTCTTGTCAGCCCACTACAGATTCGGGGACATGTATTAAAGACAGACCAGGCCGCCTGATTATATGATTCCTTCTGGGCATGTTCAGCTAGTGCAGTTGGACTTCAACAGAGTTGTAATTTACCAAATGACTATGGCAGACTAGCAACAGAGTGTGTGCAAGAACATGTTTATTTATAAAGATTGACTGTGGCATTTAAGCTGGGTAAGGAGGAAAGAGGGACAGCAGGGCCATGAGGAAAATTGAAACAATGGAAGGATCTTTGGATCATAGGCCCTGGCAGAAGAATTATTGTTGACAAACCAGAGAGAATGAGCTGAAAAGATAGGTGTAATCAGAGCGTGGGGTACATGAAACTGAGATTAGGTATTGCTTGTAATTATTGGTAATGATAAGATTCAGCATGTGATCATGTGGGTGAGTAGCTAAGACAAGTGTGAGGACAAGATCATTGAAAGAGAGGGATTATGAGATTGAGGCAGCCAAGATGTTGGAAAGAGCATATATTGAAACCATAGAGAGTTATAGCTGAGATAGTACCGGGGAAAGGAACAGTGAGTGAGGAGCTGAAATGAAGAAATAAGCAGAAATGACTACAGTTAAAGGTCCCTGCTGTGGCTGGGAGGGTCGTATGAACTGAGGGTATCAATTCAGAATAGGGTTTTTGGCGAGGTGGAAGGGATAATGTTCTAGAGCTGGTGATGAAAATAAGGAGGACATCTTCCTCATCTCCAAGCCAAGTGTGCGCATTATAGGAGAAAAGCAGCCACCGTTTGAGAGAACTACCCAAGAAACATGTCCTCAGTGGAGGTGAGGTTTCAGCTAGAACAGTGTTTCTCAGCAGCAGCACTCTAGACATTTGGGCCAGATCATTGTGTTGTGGGGTCTGCTCTGTACATCATAGGATGGTCAGCAACAACCTTGACCTCTACGCTCTAGAAATACCTCACATACACACAGATACCACCCCAGTTATAACAACAAAAATATCTCTAAATATTGCCAAATGCTTCCTACCTTTTGTTGAAACCACCACTATATATAAGCCACATTCTGAATTCTCTCAGCATTTCTGAGATTCATTTTACAGAGATTTTAAAAATCAATGAACTCAGGTGAAAACTTTGTCAAGATTCTTGTTTGTAATAGCGGTTACTACAAAAAGTGTTTTTAACAGACAAGGCAGAATTTCCTTTGTTATTTTAATTGGTATTCTATTCTAGTTACAAAACTATTCTAATTACAATTCTATTCTAGTTACAAAAACATTCTGAAATATTGTATTTAGATTTTCCTTCCTGCATTAAGCAAAATTTGCATTTTGTAAAAGCAAAAGTTAGGAGTGCTTGGGTGGCTCAGTTGGTTAAGTGTCCCCACCTGAGCTCAGCTCATGATCTCACAGTTCACGAGTTCTAGCTCCACATTGGGCTCTCTGCTGTCAGCACAGCTCATATGCGCGCGCGCGCTCTCTCTCTCTCTCTCTCTCTCTCTCGCTCTCTCTCTCAAAAATAAATAAAAATATTTTTTAAAAATTAGAAATGGAGGGACGCCTAGGTGGCTCAGTCTAATTAAAAATAATTAGAGGGGCGCCTGAGTGGCGCAGTCGGTTAAGCGTCCGACTTCAGCCAGGTCACGATCTCGCGGTCCGTGAGTTCGAGCCCCGCGTCAGGCTCTGGGCTGACGGCTCAGAGCCTGGAGCCTGTTTCCGATTCTGTGTCTCCCTCTCTCTCTGCCCCTCCCCCGTTCATGCTTTGTCTCTGTCTGTCCCAAAAATAAAAATAAACGTTGAAAAAAAAAATTAGAAATGGATAAGAAACCTAAATATAAAAACTAAAATTATAAACATTTTTTAAAAAAAATTTTTTAATGTTTATTTTTGAGAGAGAGTGACAGAGTATGAGTGTAGGAGGGTTAGAGAGAGAGGGAGATGCAGAATCTGAAGCAGGTTACGGGCTCTGAGCTGTCAGCATAGAGCCCAACACAGGGCTCGAACCCACGGACCGCGAGATCATGACCTGAGCCGAAGTTAGAGGCTTAACCAACTGAGCCACCCAGTGCCCCAAAATTATAAAATTTCTACAAGGAAGCAGCAGAATATCTGCTCCAACATGGCAGAGTAACTTCACAGTCTTGGAGTAGGCAAAGATCTTTTAGATAGGAGCCAGAATGCATTAACCATTAAAAAATAATAAAGTAGACTTGGTCAAAATTAAATACTTCATCCAAAGATACCATTAATAAACTGAATAGACAAGAAAATAATTTACAATACGTATGTCTGACAAGTGACTTGTATAAATTAAAAAACTCTTACAACTCAAAAACAAGATAAAAAAACCTGGATGAAAATGTTTGACCAGGCACCTCATAGAGATTTACATGGAGATTTACAAATGATCAATAAACTAATGAAAATGTGCTTAATAGTATTAGTCATCAGGGAAATGCAAATTGTAACCACAGTGATATTCCACTGTGTGTACCCATTAGAATCCATGAATCAAGACCTGATCGCACCAACTGCTAGTGAAGATAAGGAGCAACTGGGGCTTTTAGACACTGCTGCTGGGGTGGGAATTGTACCAACACTTTGGAAACTGGTCTGGCAGTTTCTCATAAAGTTAAGCACACATTTACCCTAAGACAGCAATTCCTTTCTTAGGTGTTTGCCCTAGAAAAAGTAACACATATGTCTATAAAGACTTCTAACAAGAATGGCAGCTTTGGCCATAGTAGCCAAAAACTAGAAACAACACAAATGTGAATGTTCAGCAACAGTAGAATAGAATTCTACTCGGCAATAAAAAGGAATGAACTGCTAATATATGCAACACCCTGTATGAACCTCAAAGATGATGTTTGAAGAAGCCCAACCAGAATAGCGCATACCGTATGACCCCATTTATATGGAATGTTAGAATCTGTAAAACTAACCTATGGTGAAAGAAGTCAGAACAGTGCTTGCCTCTGAGAGAGCAGTGTAGGATTGTCTGGGCAGGATCACAGAGTTTTTCTGAAGCAATAGAAATGTACATCTTTTTTCTTTTTAATTTTTAATTTTATTTTAGAGAGAGTATGAGCCAGGGAGTGGGGAGAGAGAGAGCGAGCGAGAGAGAATCTCAAGCAGGATCCATGCTCAGCATAGAGCCCAACATGGGGCTCAGTCTCACAACCCTGGGATCATGACCTGAGCCAAAATCAGGAGTCAGACACTCAACCGACTGAGCCGCCCAGGCACCCCAGAAATGTTACATATCTTGAGGCAGATGTGGGTTACGTACGTATATACATTTATCAACTCATTGATCCTGTGTATTCAAGATCTAGACATTTCACGGTTTTTAAATCTCAATTTTTTTTGAAAAAGTAATTTATACAAATTTATTGGCATTCCTCAGGCCCTCCTGCTGATCTCTTTTTACACTTTAGGAATAGTTGGGCCCAACTTTAGAGCTAAAAATGCTGGGGTATCTAACCCATTCTTAGGCTGGAAGAGGTGGAGCTGAAAGGATAGGTTCCTGGGAAAACATTAAGCGGGGACCTGAAAGGGGAGTGCCTTAGCTGTGTGCAGAAGCACAAATGAGCATCCAAGAAGAGAAAGAAAAAGCATGTGAAAAGGCAAGACAGTGCAAGTGAAGTGTCAATTTGCGAGGAAGAAGGGAGGCAGAGGTGAGCATGGTGCTGCTACCTGCCTGACTCTTCTAGGGAATGTTGGAAAAGTCACGTCCAAAAATAAACCACTTTTATGTGAAAATCTTTTATGAACATACAACATAATACATAATCATACTTCTGGTATGGCTTGATTTTAATGAGTATAATAAAAACCGATAAAATATTTGGTAAGAATGTTTATAGAGTTTAAAAGTTGTTTGCAAACTTAGTATTTCTTTTGGTCTGATTTTTGATGACACAGATTCGACCTTTTTTTTTTTTTTTGGTTTCAGGGTTCAAAAAGGATTCTTCGCTCCAACGAGATCATCCTTCCAGCTAGTGGACTTGTGGAAACAGAACTCCAATTAACCTTCTCCCTTCAGGTGAGAAGCTACTGAATCTTAGGTCACTAATGTCTAATCTAGTCACTAATGTCTAGTCTAGTCCTGCAGTCTGGAGATTTTTCTATCTCAGAGCAGCCACAGCCCAATGAATGAAAGTTACCCAATGAATTGAGCTTCTGTGGCTAGCCTGGAGGGCTGAAGCAGTCACTCAGCCAGCCACAGTGAGGATGCTGAGACCCGAGTTCTTTTTTTCCCCTTTCCTTGGATAAGGCTGTTGATCCCCCACCCAATCTCGCTCAGCCCCGTTACCTCTCCTTAGTAATCTGCGGCACACACTCCAGCTGAGTGTGTCCCCTTCAGTCTCATTCTGCCCCCATGTTGTAATCTCAATTCCTTCCCTTCTCCTTATGCCTCTTTAGTATGTCTCTCTCTCTCATCACAATCCCAGGATCCCAAATTGAAGCATATGGAGAAAACATTTGATCACTTGGCAAAGAAAGAGGCAAAGTTCTGAACACGTGTGTACCACAGAGCTACAGAATGGAAATCAGGCACCAAGGAGAATCGAAGCCTCAGCGGCAACTTAATGGTGTCTCCTTCACCCCTGATTCCCCCCACGCAGCCCCCTTGTACAGGCAGGAGATAGTGAAGCACAGAAGGATTGCATATCCTCCAACAGGACCAGACAAGGACCCAGGAGCTCATTAACGATGCTTGACTCTTTTGTACTTGGCAGTACCCTCATTTCCTGAAGCGAGATGCCAACAAGCTACAGATCATGTTGCAAAGGAGAAAGCGTTACAAGAACCGGACCATCTTGGGCTATAAGACCCTGGCTGTGGGACTTATCAACATGGCAGAGGTGAGGGGGCACAGTCTCCAGTCTTTAAGTCCGAGAGTTTGTGAGGCACACCAGGCCCAGCCAGTTGAGCCTGCTAGCAAATGATTTTGCCAGCCTAGTGGCTGGGTGTTTCATTTTATTTTACAAGTTAATTCTATTTTTGGAAATTCAGGATATCCCAAGTAATTGTTCTTTTTTTTTTTTTTAATTTTTTTTTTTAACGTTTTTATTTATTTTTGAGACAGAGAGAGACAGAGCATGAATGGGGGAGGGGCAGAGAGAGAAGGAGACACAGAATCCGAAGCAGGCTCCAGGCTCTGAGCTGTCAGCACAGAGCCCGATGCGGGGGCTCAAACTCACGGACCGTGAGATCGTGACCTAAGCTGAAGTCGGATGCTTAACCGACTGAGCCACCCAGGCGCCAGAGTAATTGTTCTTTTTATCCCAAGTAATTACTCCCTCACAAAATGTTTTTCTTTAAGTTTCAAAGAAAATTCAAACTTACAGAAAAATTGTAAGAGTAGTGTAAAGAATGCCCATATACCCTGCACTCAGATTCTTCAGTGCTAACATATTACCGCATTTGCCTTATTTCTCTCTCTATATAAACATTTATGCATATTATTTTCTTTTCTGAACCACTGAGAGTAAGTTGCAGACATGATACCCTACTACACCTTAATGCCGTACTATGTTAATTTCTTAAAAATAAGAATACTCTCCTGTGTAGTCAGCATCATGCCCGCCATAAAGGTCAGGACATCAACACGGATATAGGATCATCATCCAGCCCACGGCCCCCGCTCAGATTGTGCCAAGTGTCTCGATAGTATCCATTACAGGCCCAGAATTTAATCTGGGATAGTGTTCATTTAATTGTCTTGCCTTTTTAGTCTCCTTCAATTTTCAACAGTCCCTCAGATTTTCCTTGTCTTTCATTCCTTTGACTTTTTTTAAGAGTACAGGCTAGAGGCACCTGGGTGGCTCAGTCAGTTGGGTGTCCAACTTCAGCTCAGGTCATGATCTCACGGCTCGTGACTTTGAGCCTCACGTCAGGCTCTCTGCCATCAGCACAGAGCCCACTTCAGATCCTCTCTCCCTCTCAATAAATAAACTTAAGGAAGGGAAGGAAGGAAGGAAGGAAAAAAAAAGAGTACAGGCTAGTTACCTCGTTGAATGTTCCTCAGTTTGGGTTTGTCTGATGTTTTCTGAAGATTAGATTCAGCTTATGCATTTTTGGCAGAACTACCACAGAAGTAATGCCGTGTTCTTCTAAGTGCTACACAGGCAATGCTCCACGTCAATTTGTTCCATTTCTGGTGAGGTTAGCTTTTATTGCTTGGTTAAGATGATGTCTGCCAGGATTTCCAACCTAAATTAACACTTTTTTTTGTATTTCCCAATTTAAAACAATATTTTATAGGGAGATGTTTTGAGACAGTGTAACAAACCTTTTTTCTCATCATATCTTCAACTAGTTTTAGCATCTATTAGTGATTCTTGCCTGGATCAATTATTACTTTGGTGCTTGCCAGTGAATTTCTAATCCCATCATTCCTGCTGTATATATTAATTCACTTTCTATTGTAAGGCAGAGCTTTCTCTTCTTCCCATTTATTGATCATTTCACTTATATGTATTAGTTATGGACCTGTGGATTCCTGTTTGCTTCAGTGGGGTTCAATCTGTTACTATCTTTTTTTTTTTTTCATGCTTAAATTATCTCAGATTTGGCCAGTGGGAACCCCTCCAAGCTAGTCCCTATATCTTTTTTGATATGTGCCATCATTCTTTATACACTTCTTTACTTTCTGGTACAAAATAGCATCTTGCACTTTCCCTGACCCAGCCTTGGAGTGAACTGATTCTCCAAAGAGTCCTGGTTCCTTTTGGCGGAGAATAGTATCTAAATGGGTTCCATGACTATTAAGAGTTATTTTTCCAGCTGGAGTGTCATTGCTTCTACTCCCCATGAACAGACAGAGCTAGGAAATGTATCTGCATATGTGCTTATGCTCTCATACATACATACATACATACACACCACACACATGTCATACCTGTTTCCCTGTCTGTCTGTCTGTCTGTCTGATCATGAGCTCACACATTCCAATCAATTCCAACCCAACACCATTGGGCTTATGCTTGCCTTTCCCCGTCCATTGTTCTGATTCCCTCCTCCAGCAGGATGAAAGCAGGCTCCCATTATCTTCAATATGTTTGCTCATTTGTGTAGTTCCCTTATGTGCCAGATAAATCCTCTTAACCCTGACAAAGGGGAAAAAGGGGGGGCCACATTTTATTTTTTTATTATTTATTTTAAACTGAAGCAATGCTTTATTGCAACGACAAAGCACCAATTCAGTAAGGCATTGACACATGGAGATTCAAACAAATGTCTCTGAACAGAGATGTAGCAAGACTGCTTTTTCAAGTTCTTAAAAACAGGTTCTCAAATCAAAAATCAAAGTATTGGAGCAATCAAAAAATTAATACACCATCATGAAGAATATATATTTATAAATATTTATACTAGTAACAAGGCTTTTGGATCTATAACTTTTGGCAAATTCCTTCAGAAAAAAATTAGTGTAGATACCAACCATAAAGTGAAAAAGTGTTTTCTTCCGTGGAAACAAAAAGCCAATTTGAGAGTAAATCTATACAGAAAATACCATTATCCCCGGTGAAAAAAGCTGAATATGGATGGATATCTCCAAGACACAACAGATTTTCTCTTTTCAGAGGTTCCACCTGTAGGGGCCATGAAGCATGTTCATTTCAAACATCACAGTATAGCCCAGCAAAACCTTGGGGCGCCTGGGTGGCTCCGTCGGTTGAGCGTCCGACTTCAGCTCAGGTCATGATCTCGCGGTTCGTGAGTTCAAGCCCCGCATCGGGCTCTGTGCTGACAGCTCAGAGCCTGGAGCCTGTTTCAGATTCTGTGTCTCCCTCTCTGTCTCTGACCCTCCCCCACTCCTGCTCTGTCTCTCTCTGTCTCTCAAAAATAAATAAATGTTAAAAAGAACTTTAAAAAAAAAAAAAAACACCTTAATAAGGTCAAGTGGAGGAGCCTCTATAAAAAGTAGTGTCAACAATTCCATCCAAATAATACAAGCTCTTAAGAAGAAGAGGAATTCAAGGGAGACAGCAGTCTCTCTTTTTCCCCTTTTCCAAGTTTTCTTGTTTTTAATCTCCCTACATCTGAAACAAAAGATCATTCACTTCAATCCTTTTTCAAAGATTTTGGAAAAGCAGTCTGTGAAGAAAATCCCTTTAGTGGGGAGGGAGGTCCAGTCATGTCAAAGATGACTCTTTTTGACAAGCTCCACAAGGAAAACCATCCTGTCCACAAGTTATCCTTGTTCCTCCTGGTTGAATTCAGGTCAGCTGATGGATTGCCTAGTTCGCCCAAGACATTTCATTTGACTGAAATTCTTCACATCTACACATGTATGTATTCTGTTTACAAAGTTTCATCACATGAGGGGTGCCTGGGTGGCTCAGTCAGTTGAGCGTCCAACTCTTGATTTTGGCTCAGGTCAGATCCCGGGGTCGTGGGATCAAGGCCTGCATCAGTCTCCTCACTGAGCATAGAGCCTGTTTGAGATTCTTGCTCTCTCTCTCTCTCTCTGTCCCTCCACCCCACTCACGCTCTATCTAAAAAATAAACAAATATTTTTTTTAAGTTTTATCACATGAAACTAAATTATGTCAGTATGTTTCTTGAGGTCTAAGACCCCAGTTTGTACTATGAAGAGTTGTTCTTTAAATGCTTTGTCAGCAGAGGTTTTACATGATACTGGTAGATTTTCTTGTTTATTTATTTATTTTTTTTAACGTTTATTTATTTTTGAGAGAGAGAGAGACAGAGCATTAATGGGGGAGGGTCAGAGAGAGAAGACACAGAATCTGAAACAGGCTCCAGGCTCTGAGCTGTCAGCACAGAGCCCGACGCGGGGCTCGAACTCACGGACTGCGAGATCATGACCTGAGCCGAAGTCGGACGCTCAACCGACTGAGCCACCCAGGCACCCCGATACTGGTAGATTTTGAGAGCAGGCCCCCCTTTTAAAAACTGAAGTCCTATCAATACATCATTTCTTGTCATCAGTAGCAGGGATTTTCCATCAATTTCCTGTTCCCAGAAAGCACTAGTTTGCTCCTCAAATCCTGCTGTTTGGAAATAGTTGACGACGTGCATGACGTCAGGATCTAGTGGCCTCCCATTCTTCCATTCTCATGAAACACCCTGCATGGCTGGCATGGAGAGATCTTCCCCCTGTGCAGAGCTCTGCGGCTGCCATGCTCCCAACTCCTGTGTAGCTGGCCCACAGTCAGTTTTAAAACTTAGGTCTGGGGGCATCTGGGTGACTCCGTCAGTTAAACGCCCAGCCCTTGGTTTCAGCTCAGATCATGATCTCACAGTTCATGAGTTCGAGCCCCACATCAGGCTCTGTACTGATGGTATGAAGCCTGCTTGGGATTCTTTCTCTCTCTCTCTCCCTCTCTCTCTGCCCCTCCCCTGCTCACTCACTCTTTCTCTCTCTCAAAATAAATAAATAAACTTAAAAAAAAAAACTTATGTCTGTGCTTTAGTACATTAAATAGGAAAGTTTCTGTGACCTTAATAAATAGAATATATGAGATCGTGGCAGCCCATCTATCTTTCCTCTTCAGGTTTTGAATCAGTATGAGGGACTATGGGGAGTGAAGTATTATGGATGCCATATTTCCCCACCTGTGTTTTCTCAGGTACTATAGATCGTTTTTCCCATTGCCAGACACAGGTGATCACCATCTGCAGGCCGGCCCCAGCCTGGAGAACTAGTTCTCTGTCAAGGACTAAAACTAAAATGTAGTCCCAGAGATTAGCCATCATTTTCAGGCTCGAGCCTCGATTTTCTTTTAAGCACAAAGGCCTGACCAGTGCCTGGCACTTCTGGAGATAATTTTCAAGTAAGAGTTTGAAGGCAATGGGAGAAAAGTAGGCCTGGATTTGAAAGATAGTGAGAAAGAAAATGTATTAGCAGAATGTCATTCCCATCGGCTTGCACATCCATTTGGATTTATCAAAATGGACAACTCACCTCCCCTAGTAAGGCATTTGCATTACTGCCCTGTGCTCTCAGGTGATGCAGCACCCTAATGAAGGCGCTCTGGTGCTTGGCCTGCACAGTAACGTGAAGGATGTCTCTGTGCCTGTGGCAGAAATAAAGATCTACTCTCTGTCCAGCCAGCCCATTGACCATGAAGGAATCAAATCCAAGCTGTCTGGTAAGATGTATATGGTATCTGGAGGCCCTGTGGGTCAAGAACAAGCCCATCACCTGTTCCCCATCCTGGGAAAGCTGAACTTGATGGGGCCTAAAATGTTCTTGTGAAAGAGAAGTTTAGAGATCCTTCAAAATAAAACATGGCTTACCATGGCTGTGGCCCTCGCCTCTTCCCCAGACCTATTTCCGCCTGACGAGAGCCCTGATTCCAGCCAACCAAATTCTCTTAGGCCAGATCTTCACACTTCAAGGTTGTCTTACTAAGGTGTCTCTCTCCAGATCGTTCTCCTGATATTGACAATTATTCTGAGGAAGAGGAGGAGAGTTTCTCATCAGAACAGGAAGGCAGTGATGATCCATTGCACGGGCAGGTAACTTTCCACAGCCCCTCACATGTAGTGTCTCGAGAAATAATTCCAGACCCTCCTGGGGTTTCCTAACTTCATTCCATGCCTTTCCCCACTTAGGACCTGTTTTATGAAGATGAGGATCTACGGAAAGTAAAGAAGACCCGGAGGAAACTAACCTCAACCTCTGCCATCACAAGGGTGAGCCTCGAAGGTCTGGGGAATGTTTACCTGAGATTTTCCATTTGGAGGTAGGATGAGAGTGGTATATTGAAACCTCCTGGAGTCTTTTTAAAAATCTGCACATGGCCATTCCCTGAAGGTTCTGGTATACCCCTCTATCTCCTCCTCCTCCTCCCCCACCCC